TCCTCGCCTGGGCCGGCAGATGCGGAAGGCTTTTTGAGCCGCCGCGGTTTGCTGCAATTTGGGGCCCCGGGCTCACCGAGTTGCTGAACAGCGCCAGCTCCAGCTTCTGGAGCTGGGGCAGCTGGCTGACGGCCGCGGCCACGGCCCGGGCCCCGTCATCGCCTCGGGGAGCCAGGCTGCATCATCATTCAGAGGGTCTCGTCTCGCAGGAGTGCTGAAACAGAGGGGGGGTTCATCGGCTCGACTCCGCTACAGGCGGAAAGGTGAGTTCTCAAGGGTTCGGGACCCTTCACCTGCAGAGTTGGATGCAGTTCTCACGGCTCTTCGAGGTTTCGGAGGTGTCTAGCTGTTGGGGGAAACTCTGAAGCAGAGATCCGGCTCCGAGCATCCGCTCGGAGCTCCGAGGCCCTGGGCCTGCCTGCGCCTTTTCCTCTCCAGGGCCCCCGGCCGATTCTGTTCTCTTCCAGGTTCAGCCGCAGCTCTTGGAGCGGGAGCTCGGCCAAGGCGGCCAGGGCGCGGGCGCCCTCCACGCCTCGGGCGAAACGGCTCTGCACCGACCTTTTCCCAGAGTGCCCATCAGAGACTCCATTATGCAGGGAATCCAAGCAAAATGACATCTGCGGCAGAGACCTCAGAAAAGCAGAGCTCCAGAAGGTGTAAGAAGAGGTCTCGAACCAAGCCATTTCTTTCAATCAAAGCTGTGCTTCGGGCAGGAGACGGGGCACCTACGATTTCGTGCCTGAATTTTGCAGGGGGACAGACACTTTGTCCTTGCCTCCCAACTCATCTGCTGCTCTATCCTTCATTGTGGCCTCCGGCTGTTTGCATGAACCTTGTCTTGGGGGTTCCCAGGGCGCACCATCTACAAGCGGCCACGGCCGCACTGGGTGTGGGATCAGCATCTCCCCGATAAGTTGCAGACGCGCATGCTTTTTTCGCAAGTGCTGTGGCAAGAGGCAGCTTGCAGCACAAGCGCTTGGCTGCGCACGGCAACCAATATCTCCGTGTCTGCATCTCTCACTCCGGCTCGCTCTGTCTTTCCCGGAGTCGCCGTGGAAGAAGCTGGTGTGCCTGGTCGTTCCTGCAGCCCTGAACAGGAGATGGCAACCGATGCTGCTTCGCCCGACGCTCCAGAAAAGCAGGTTTTTCACCAGTTTAGGCTTCAGACGAAACGGTGCGAAGCAGTCAGGAAAGGTCGTAGACGTGTCTTCAGAAGGATGCTGGCAGACCTTGAATCGCAAAAACCTGACGGTCGCAGAACACCTGGGCCCCCGGGCCCAGCGAGTTGTCGAACAGATTCAGCTCCAGCTTCCGGAGGGGCAGCTTGGCGATGGCAGCGGCCAAGGCTTGGGCCCCCTCGGCGCCTCGGAGGCACGTGGCAGCGCTTGGCCCGCTTCTTCGGAATGGGCTCGCATCCGCTGCAATAGGCATTCCCTAGACATGAACTGTCTGTAGCAGCTCACTGCATCGAAGACATGCGCAGCAAGTCTTCGCAACAGGCCTGGCGGAAGCATCACGACATGAGAACTTGCAAGAGTTGGCGCATACACAAAGAGAGAGTGCGAAGCTAACATCATAAGCGCTCTCAAAAGTTACGGTCCTGAAACGTGTGGGGTACCTGCAGCGAACATCCGGTGGCCTCCGCTCCTCGGAGCCTCCGAACCCTGCTGATACAATCCGACTGCCCCACCCCCCCACCCCAAGGACTCTGCTACAGATCTTGGGTCTCACGGAAGAACTCTGGCAGAGCGGCCCGTCGAGGACTCCCAGTTTCCAGGTCAAGTGGGAGGCACAGGAGATCGGTATGCGAGCTTTCTTCAGGGGAGGACTGCTACCCCGACAGCGGAAGACAGCAAAGACACCCAAAGTTGGTTTTGAGGAGTCTGGTCAAGCCTTGAAGGTCGCAACAGTAGACAATCGCAAAAGAAAATTCACATAAGCTCTTTTTTTCAGGGGAGCCGTTGCTTTGGATCGCAGCTGTGCGGGCAGGAGATGGGGTGCCTACCAACTCTCACAGGAATCAAACAAAGTTGGGCCACAAAATGTCAGGGAGTCGGCGCCCGGACCTGCTTACACACATGCGCTTCTCAGCGGCGGGGGGCTGAAGCCTGGGACACCTGTGAATCCTCACGAAGTGTTGCGCAGCGGACCCTGTAAAGATATGTCAATGAACATAAGCGCCAAGGCAGAAGAATTTGCGATCTCGGAGATCCGAGCTTTTGATAGCTGGAACTTTAACCTGGTCTATTTTAGCCACACTGTCCCGAACAGCAGATTCGCATGAGCTCCTGTTTCAGAGAGCACAACGCGCAGCTGTCGGGGAAAGCAGCGTATTCTGCAGGGTTCCGGGTTTTCGGGGTTTTTGGGGGTTGGAGGCAGTTCTCACGGCTCTCCGAGGTTTCTGGGTGTCTAGCTCTTGGGGGAAACCTGAAGCAGAGGTCCGGCTCCGAGCCTCCGCTCTCTCGGAGCTCCGAAGGTGTGGGCCTGTGCCTTTTCCTCTCCAGGGCCCGGGCCGATCTCGTTCCGGAACAGGTTCAGCTGCAGCTCTTGGAGCGGGAGCTCGGCCAAGGCGGCGGCCAGGGCGCGGGCGCCCTCCGCGCCTCGGGCGAAACCGCTCTGCACCGAGCTTTTCCCAGAGTGACCATCAGAGACTCCATTATGCAGGGACTTCAAGTAAATTGATATCTGCGGCAGAGACCTCAGGGAAGCTGAGATCCAGAACTCTCGAACCAAGCCACTTCATTGAATTAAAGCTGTGCTTCGGGGCAGGAGACGGGGCACCTACGAAGTCTCACAGGAATCAAACAAAGTTGGTCCCCGAAAGGTGTCAGGGACTTACACGCATGCACTTCTCAAGGAGGCGTGTTGAAGCCTTGCACTGCGTCTTCCGGAAGGGTTGGAGCTGAAGCTAGACAAACGAGATCCTACGCAGTGGACTCTGAAAAGACATGTCAATGAGCATAACATAAGTGTCAAAGCAATAAAATGCAGTTGCAGCTTCTTTTCGGAAAAAACGTACTCCGTACAGTATCGGTGTCTTGATTTCCCTATCTTGAAGTCGGATTTCTGAGCTTCTCACCGCTACCAACTTTACCCTGGTCTATGTCATGTCTGCATTTCAGCCACAACGTCCCGAACAGCAGATTCACATGAGCTCCTGTTTCAGAGAGAACAAGGGAAAGCAGCATATTCTGCAGGGTTCCGGGTTTTCGGGGTTTTGGGGGGTTGGAGGCAGTTCTCACGGCTCTTCGAGTTTTCGGGGTCTCCCCGAGCCTCCGCTCTCTCGGAGCTCCGAGGCCCTGGGCCTGGGCCTTTTCCTCTCCGGGGCCCCCGGCCGAGATCATTCTCTGCCAGGCTCAGCTGCAGCTCTTGGAGCGGGAGCTCGGCCAAGGCGGCGGCCAGGGCGCGGGCGCCCTCCTCGCCTCGGGCGAGACCGCTCTGCACCGAGCTTTTCCCAGAGTGCCCACCATACCCCAAGCAAATTGATATCCGCGGCAGAGACCTCAAGGAAGCAGAGATCTGCTGATTGAATCAAAGCTGTGCTTCGGGCAGGAGACTGGGCACCTACGAATTCGAGCCTGAGTTTTGCAGGGTCGATGCTTTGGCTTTGCCTCCCAACTCATCCGGTGCTCTATCCTCCATTGGCGTGCCGTCTACAAGCGGCCACGGCCGCACTGGGTGTGGGATCAGCATCTCACCGAAACGTGGCAGACTTGCTGAATGCTTTCTTCGCAGGGGCTGTGGGAACAGGCAGCTTGCAGCACAAGCGCTTGGCTGCGCATGGCAACCAATATCTCCGTGTCCGCATCTCTCACTCCGGCTCTCTCTGTCTTTCCCGGAGTCCCCGGGAAGGAAGTTGATTCCTGCAGCCCTGAACAGGAGACAGAAACCGATGCAGCTTCGCCCGATGCTCTAGAAGAGCAGGTTTTTCACCAGTTTAGGCTTCAGACGAAACGGTGCGAAGCACACCGGACAGGTCATAATGGTCATAGACGTGTCTTCAGAAGGATACTGGCAGACTGGAGCCGCAAAGACCTGACGGTCGCAGATCACCTGGGCCCCCGGGCCCAGCGCGTTGAGTTGCAGGTTCAGCTCCAGCTTCCGGAGGGGCAGCTTGGCGATGGCAGCGGCCAAGGCTTGGGCCCCCTCATCGCCTCGGAGGGACGTGGTATCGCTTGGCCCGCCTCTTCGGAATGGGTTCGCATCCGCTGCAATAGCCAATCCCCACACATGAAATGTATGTAGTGGCTCAATGCATCTCAGACATGCGCAGCAAGTCTTCGCAACAGGCTTGGCGGAAGCACCACATGAGAGATTGCATCGGAGCCTCCGAACCCTGGTGATACAATCCGACTGCTCCGACCCCCCCCCCCCCACTGACTCTGCTACAGATCTTCGGTCTCACGGAAGAATCCTAGCAGAGCGGCCCGTCGAGGACTCCCACTTTCCATGTCGAGTGGGAGTCGCAGGAGATCGGTATGAGAGCTTTCTTCAGGGGAGGGACTGCTATCCTGACGGCGGAAGACAGCAAAGACACCCAAAGTTGATTTTGAGGAGCCTGGTCAGGCCTTGAAGGTCGAACCAGTAGACAGTTGCAAAAGACAATTCACACAAGCTCTTTTGTCAGAGTGGAGCCGTTGCTTTGGATCGGAGCTGTGGCGGGCAGGACCTACCAACTCTCACAATCAAACAAAGTTGGGCCCCGAAAGGTGTCAGGGAGTCAGCGCCCTCACCTGCTTACAAAGGACATGCAGTTCCCAATGGGTTGGAGCCTTGGACGCCTGTGAAATCCTGCGAATCTTCACGAAGTGTTGTGGCTGAAGCCAGGCACACGAGATCCTATAGGGTGCTCTGTACAGGCCTTGCAGGTCGCAACAGCAGACAGTCGCAACAGCACATGGTGTTTTTTTTCGGGGGAGCCGTTTCTTTGGATCGAAGCTGTGCTGCGGGCAGGAGACGCTTGGCCCACGAACTCTCACAGGAATTAAACAAAAAGCTGCTCAAGCTCTTGCACGGCGGGAGCAACCTTCCTGGCCATTCGAGGAACCCCGCTGGGATCCCCGGCCGATGCTGTTCTCCTTCAGGTCCAGCTGCAGCTGTCGGAGCCGCTTGGGCAGCGCAGAGGACAGGCTGCTGGCGCCCTCGGGGCCTCGCACTGAAACCACTCGAGCAGAAGCTCCGGAATCCTTCAATGAAAACTACGAAATCAGATAATTGCCGGACCCTCGAGATTGAGTCAGCTAGGCCATTAGCTGTCAAACCCCGTTGAAACGGATTCATTCCGCTGGCTGGTCGGGCTTCACGCCGCCTCTGCAAGCTCACAAATTTGGTCCGCCGTATGTTTTGATTGTGACAACAAATCCGACCCCGCGCAGTCCGGGTCCCTCACCCAGATGGTTTTCATCCAAGTTGAGCGCCAGCTTCTCGGTGCAAAGCAGGGCTCCTCCGGAAAGAAGCCGACTCGCGCGGCGACCACAGCACAGGCAGCTCGCATTCTCGCCCATGCACAAGAAGTCCTTGGAACGCCTCCGTGTCCGCGGCGACCAACTTTGTTTCTTTAAGGTCGATCTCTGCCTCCGCCGCGTGGGCCGTCTGCATCATCAGACAGAAGCGGAGGGCACCTGTGGGAGACCGGAGCTGAAGCCACGAAGTCTCTGTCTCCGTTGGCATGTCTTCGGTCACTGTGACAACGCAGATCTTGCAAAAATGGGACTGTGGATGTGCAGGCCTCGCAGCATCGGCTGCTGCTGCGCTTCGGCGAAGGCTTCTCTCCAGGACGGCGCCTGGGCACTAGCCAACCGGGCCTGTCAGCCGCGGCTCAATCTATATGTATAATCACTCGCACAATCACAAGGTCTACCGAGAATAGCAATGGCAATAGCGCTCACGCGCACGATCTCCGCGCGGCGCCTCTGCGGCCAGGAACTCCTGCATTCGCAGGTGGTATAGCTGCACCTGGCAAAGGGTGTGAACCATTTCGAACTTCTGACCCGATGAAAATCTCCAAGCACGGTTTGCGCCACCGCTTGACCAGCTGGCTCGAAGAATCTCAAGTGCCCGAGCTGCGCTTCCTGGAAGACCACCTGGATGCAAAACACAGGCGTCAGCACGACAGCACTCAAACCGTGTCAGCTGTGCATGCCTGACGGGTTCCAGTTGCGACCACAGCACACCGCAGATGGCCAAAGAAACGACGAGTCACATACAATTTTGTGCTGGTGTTTTAGGTGCTGTATCACCTGTTGCAGCCACATGACAAGACATTGTGTGAACAAGCATGGGCATCAGTCTATCTAATTATTTGGGACTCATGCAGGCCCTGCAACACCTGAGACGCAGTCACCCGTGGGCGCTCCTGCAGCTCCGGCCTGGCTGGTGAAGTCCGACTCCAACAGCAGCCGCTGGCCCGCCTGCAGCGAGAGCACAAGCGGATTCCTGAAAAGTTCTTTGCCGGGTGCCCGGGGGAGTTGCCTGGAGCTTGGCCAAGCACAGCGGGCCCAGCTCTGCTCGCAGCTCCTTGCAGCCGGCCCGCTCCTCTGCCTGGCTCTGCCGATACGCTGGCAGACTTATCCGACTTGCGCCAATCCGGACATAGCGTCATGGTTGCGACAGATCCCCACGAGTCTGTATTAGTTACATGGACTCGCCTGCTTCAGCAGCGTTTCCACCGCGTGCTCCATCAGCACCAGCTCTGCCGTGGCACCGTCGAGCTCTTCCTCCTGCAGTCAGCAACGTGATGTGCATGCTGATTCTACTCTCTGCCTGCAACCTCGAGAGAGGGCGGGAAAGGGAGAGGCAGGGAATCAGAAACCAGAGAGCAGGTGCATTTGATGCTTCGGTCCTTCTGGCCCCGAGGATATGTGCCTCTGCCGGGCTTGCGTCACTGTCTTCTCGTAGCATGGATGTTATACATTTGAAAATCAACATGTAGAAGCCTCCCCCCTCCCTACGCCCTGGCTCAAGACTCCGCGCAGGTAAACGGGGGCGGGGCCCAGGATGCTGGCCATCAGGGGCGTCTGCCAAACCTGCACTGGGAAAATCTGGAAAACGGTACGCAAGAAATGAGACGGCGATAAAATGAGACGCCCAGCGGCCCCGCTAAGTGCATGTGACATGACATTCCTGACGATCTGCTGAGTCGAGGGGCCGCTTCGGGGAGCGCTCGCAGCTCCTCCTCGCCGAACTTCGAGATCCTGCAAAACGAGGGCCACGAGCTTCGAAGATTTCCTGCCACACTTCGCCGAGTTGGGGGGGCCTCGAGGCCACGGGAGGACAGAGCGGCAGGATCTCCAGCGGGGCGAAGCCGAGCCTTGTGCACGGAGCTCTCCGAAGCTCGCGCTCCACGAAAGGCCAAGGCCACGGCTGCAGAGCGAGCTCATCCTGCACCGTCATCTCGGCCAGACTCGCCGGGCAGCGTGGGACCTCCGCGTCCAGGACCACCCGGAAGCAACCTGAAAGTTTGCACATCTGCCCACAGATGCATGCGACGGCAGCGCGGTCCAAGTTTTCGCCGAGAGGCGGTCGAGAGGCAGGAGTTCTCTCCGCGGCCCATCGCTCCCGAGCCCGACCTCATCGCCTCAGCAAGCAGGGAAACAAGCAGCAAGAGAGCCGCGCTTAAGAGAGAGAGAGAGAGAGAGAGAGAGAGAGAGATAGAGAGAGCGAGCGCAAGCGGCCTGGCCTGGCTCCAGGTCACCCTCCAGGAAAATCCCGGCCGATGTCTCACGGAAGCTCCTAGACTTTGTCGCTGAGCTACTTTGTGCGAGAAAAAAAGTGACGCGGCTGCTGGCTGAGCGCACTCGATCCGAGGTCTGCACACCTCCACGTCTTCGACTTTGCGGTCGTCGGCCGCTTTTTCGTCGGTCTTCAGGAAGGCGCGGCAGGGAAAGGCGCCTCTGGGCCACTCCAGCATCCTGCCGTAGTAGATGGGACTGCGGTCCTGGCAAAAGTCGCACGACAACGCCCCGGTGGCTCCCAGGGCACGGAGCGTCCCGCCCTCGGTCCTCCCAGACTTCGCCGTCGGCCCGGTGCGCCACCACGCGATGTCTCTGCTTCTCTGGATCGCCGCCGGCCGTTACGAAGGCGGGCTCCAGGATCACCCGGGCGGCGAGGCAGTCGGCGTAGTCCAGGGACACCACGTCGGAGAAGACACTCTCCGGACCCTGTCGGGCAGAGCCACCACTCTCAAGTGACGGTATTTCTCAAGCTGCAGCTCGAATTATACGAGGTGTGCACGTGGGCCTTCCGGCGCACCTTCAGGGAGTGCACCCCGGGCTCCGGGCCGTTCTCCTCCTTCTTCAGAAGCAGAAAGCCCTGGCCAGTGCGCAAAGAGCTCTCTGCCGACGACTCTGGGGAGCGCGGCTTTCTCCGCTGTGCCCGCTGCGCCTTGTCGCAGGAGAGGACGGTGCCAGCTCCCAGGCTTTGCCCAGTGCCGTGCAGCCGAACGTGGGAGGAGACCGGCAGCGGCTCCTGCGACGGTTCGGCTCAAGGCGCGAGAGCGCTGGCGCGTCCGTGCAGAAACGCATTGAGCTGGACGTGCGGAGACGACAGCGGAAATGATCCAAAGATGCCCACTTCAGCAGCCGATGCGGCAAATGGATGTGATGCCACTTGAAACTCGCACGCCGCAGGCAGTCGCAGCTTGCCGGCCTGCCTGGGTCAGCAGCGACGTCTCGGAGAACTGGCAGAGCACCACGGATGCCGCCGGCTCGCGAGCGCTGCCATCGCTGGCCAGCACCCTCAGCCCAGAGCGGCTCTGATGAAAGTTCCGAATCCTTAGACCTTCCAAAGGCGTGCTGGGATCCGGGCTGGTTGGTGCCGGACGGCCGAGAGGCGATGATGGTGCAGATGCATCGGTGGCCGTTTGCCCTGGGCCGGAGCGTTGAAGACAAGCAGCGTGCGTGCTCTAACAGTTCAATGCAAAATTGCTGGCCGAAGAGCTGGAGCCACTGCCGGAGCCAATCGAGTATCCGCCGGCGGGCGATGGCGGCTTCGTCCAGGCCGTCCAGGACCAGGACGAGCCGCCGATCGCCTGACACAACAGTGTCTCGGGCCACAACCAGTCAGCCGACAGTGAGCCTGGCGCTGCGCCTCTCAGAATTTCGTCGCTGTCGCTGCCGAAGGCTCGCCCTGCCCAGGCTTGAAGCCTCAGCGTCTGCACAGGAATCCCTTCAAATACAATTCCAACCCTTGCGCATCGCACGCCAGAGTCTACAAGAGGGAAAGCTGGCGAGAGCTGAAGTGCAGAGGAGTGGCAGGTCAACTCCTTCTTCCTGAGAAACAGCATCGACTCTGTGGGCAGCATCCGCAATACACACGTGCATCACTCGCGGAAACAGAATTGACGCATCACACCTAGCTCGTGTTCTTCGCGGTTTACACGGTGTGGTACTTCAGACTATCAGTCAATGCACGTGGATAGCTTGGTAAAAAAAGATAGGTAGATAGACAGATAGATAGGCTGAAAGAGTGATAGGCGGGTAGAGTGATTGACAGGATAGACAGATAGATTGATAGGTAGGTAGACAGGTAGATAGATAGCTAGATAGACAGATAGCCAGGCAGGTGGATAGATAGATAGGTGGCTGGCTGGATGGTAGAAATAGGTAGATAGATAGATAGTTAGCCAACTAGAAGGATAGGTAGATAGATAGATGGGTAGTGCACGCATGCGTGCACACAGACATACAGACATACAGACACGCGGGCATTCATTCATTCATTCATCCATTCAGTCGTTCATTCCCGCAAACATTCAAACATTCATGCATTCATGCATTCGTGCCTACCAGGCATAACCACACACAAGCATACATGATCATACCTAATCGCATACATATGTATACATGATGTGTGTACATGTCTGACTATGTGAAATCAATAAATAATAAATAAAAATATATATATATATACAAACACATACACACATAATTACGTAACTCAAGCCGGGCGGTCCTTGATGTCTGCCAGCTCTGCCAAGGGGACCCGGAGCGGGATCACTGCTTCCTGGACCCCGCCTCAGATCTCACCAAGTCCTGCAACTTCGCAGCACAACATGAGGCCCGCGCCCTCCTCCTGCGCCTGTTAGAAAGGCCGCACGACATCAAGCCCGGTTTGCATGGCAAGGGAATGCACGGGAGCCGATAGCAGACCCAGAAGGCAGGAAAACTGCGCCTGCGCGACTCTCCTCACGACCTCACGAGCGAAGACGGACTTTCCGGTACCTCCGTCGGGCACTGCGCAGACGAAACGGCGCGCCAAGGACTGCCCGATGTGAGAGCGTCTGTGAGGTGCCTCCTTGCCCAACGACGAGAATGCGCTGCAGCTGGCCCTGCAGCAGTGAAGCCCGCAGTCTTTCAACCCGCGTGCTGGAGACATACCTCCCGTGCGTTTCGGGCCTGCATGCAGTCGCTGATGATGCTGGACGAATTTCGGACCTCAGCTGATTTGCTGATTCTCCATCCGCTGCTGGATGTGTTGGTTCACTCATTCCACGAAAGTGCCACAGGAGCTGGGGCCAAGGCTTCGGAGGTTTCGGACATCTGCATCTCAACGTCCTCTGCTGACAGAACTTCGCCTGCAGGCTGCCGCAGGAGCAGAACGCCACTCAAGCTTGGGCGTGCACTCCGTAATCATAGCAAGAAAGGTCACGCCTGTGAGGGCATTCCGTGAGATGGCCAGGCTGGCGGCGAACTCGACCAAGCTTGCTATCTTGCGGAGGCAGCGAGGAGGGGCCGGGGCACGGGGTCTGAGATCTGTGAGCTTCACTGCGACAGGGCGCCCTGCCTGCAGTTGGATCACGCCAGAGATCTGGGCCCAGGTCGTGCCGCTCGTCTTCACGGCCTTTTCGATCATGAGCTTGTCCTGGGATGTGGCAGCATCTCTGCGTGTTATGCGAGTTGCGGAGCAATGCACATGCAGACTTGCTTGTCCCCAGCCGAGCTTCGCTTTTCTCGGAGCACTTGGTGTTGGACAAGTCCAGGACCGTCGCCTGCTCGCGGATCTTGCAGGCGAGGGGAGTGCTGGATCTGCGTGTCAGCTGGCCCTCCGCGGTGAACCTGCAGCGGGAAAAAACTACACAGTGACACACAGAGAGAGACGGTGCATCTCAGAGGCCCCAAAGTCCAGGTGGGACGAGACAACGTGCGATTGAGGCGCAAGTCCAGCCGAAGATCCAACTTGCAGCAGCGCCAGATCTCAAAAATGCACCAGATCCGCCTCAAAGAGGAACCCCATGCGTCTGCACAGAGAACAGATCTCTGTCCAACTTGTTTAAACGGCTCTACTCCGCCGTGCCACTCCAGCGTGCTGCAGCTCTCGTCGAACCTCGGCCGGCCACGAGGGCGCTGCAGGCCGACAAAGAAATTCGCAGAGAACACGCTCCGCCGAGACCGGCGCAGCATCACCGCGCAATACACGGAATCCTGCTTCATGTGGTGGCCTCACGATTAAAGTCGGAAGAGAAAGACAGGATCTGCACCCACTCCACGCCAAAGCTCGCAGATTCCAGCAACTCAGGGAGGAGCAATTTGCGACATATTCCAGGGCCCGATTAAACGGGGAGACTTGCCAATCTGTTCCGAGATCCTGCAGAGGTGGTCGGGGGACTGTAGACTGCCGACTGTAAGACTGTAGGACTGTGTAGGGAGCCGGCGACCATGTGTTGGCAATTCGAGAACCTGAGCTGTCAAATAGATGTCTCTCCACATCTCTTTCCGTACTTCTCAAGATGTGCGTTTGAAGCTGCCTACTTGTGTCTCCGCTCTGCCAAGCAACGAGCAGATGTAGTAGCACATGGCTCCTCAAGCTGACACTACGAGAATCTTGCATTCAAAGTTGCAGAAACAAAAAATCGAGGATTCGGGGTGTCCTGGATTTGCTGGGTGCACCTTCTCACCGTGCAGTCGCAATGATTTGGCGAAGGAAAGCGTTTCCTGCGACAGCCCAATCTCAGCATCCTACGACCAAACAAGGGTTCAACCGGTTCGATCTCCTCATCTTGTTTCTCCCTCTTGCCACGAAATGCGTCTTTGGGGCATCTCGTTAGAGGCTCCGGGGCCACTCGCGACGTCACGCGGTCCTCGCCCCAAAAATGCGAGACGAACGCGCAGAGGGGCGCGAATGGGCCCTGCTTCACAATGTCGACGTAAGCCACCTGGCCCAAGTTCTTGCTGCCCCGGGGCCGCAAACTTCACAGGTCTTGACTTTGCCGGGTGCGATCAAGGGGCGCCGCTGCGCAGGACCACGACGGTCCCCGGCTGCTGGAGTAGCTTCTT